CCCCAAAACCCCAAAACCCCAAAACCCCGCTGCATTATTTCAGGGGTTTATAGAATATAAACTAATAATCTAATATCAAACTCGAAATTAAAAGTAAATAGATTCAATCTTTTTAGAACTTAATTAAGTTTTCAAAGTCAAAAGACATTCTATCCTTCTTTATATCTCTCTTTTTATTTTTGTATTCATCCATAAGCAACTCAACTAAGCTGCCTTTTTCATACTTAAATTTAGAACTCTTAACTTTTATAGTATGCACCTTCTGCAATGTTATGCTATCAAAGTCAACGATCTAGTTAATTGAGCGAGCAGCCAAACTTTTCTTATCGTATAATGACAGATATAATCTCAAATGAAATGCACTTAGAGATCCTAACTTCTGAAGCATAGAGTAAATTGTTTTTATGAATTCTAACTCTTGCTTGAAGGTCTTATCAACTTAGTTCGTGATATTTTATTGATAAATACTTGGATATATCTAAAGCTACTCACTCGTACTGTATCTTTATATGTTCATGATGTTTATAATATCCTGATATATTGCACCTTAGACCTGCTTTTCAATGATATCTTTAAACATAAAAGTTTAAGAATCAGATTTAAAAAGACCTTTTACATTGTTGGCTATTAAATTTGCAGGGAATTAGCTTATTATTTTCCAATATTTTTCTTTTATCAATCAAAATAGAGTTGTTTTGTCAGTTTTTTAATTCTAACTTTGCTGTTATTCTGTATTTGCAGATAAAATGTTAGATTCAGGCCTAAAGAGCTTTATTGATCTAAATTTCTCTCTTGTTTAAAAATCTTGCTTCTAATATTACTGCAATGTTATACAATTCACTAAGAGATAAGTTCTATCCTAAAATTTTACAAATCTAAGTAAGATACTTTCATCTGCATTTGTACCATTAGCAGAGTAAATCTTTTTAAGTATCAAAGATTAGTCTATTTCTTGAATAATACTAATCTTTAGATAATCTTAGTAATATATTAAACTATCAATCTCAACTTCTGTCATTTAAAATTAAAAATTGGTAATACTGCTATCTCTCTTCTACAAAGTAACAATATCTAAATTGTTTAAATCAGTCACTCTGTAAAGTCTTAAGTTTGGCATGGTCATATTAAATATTACATTGGAGAAAAATTTATTAAAGTCCTACTTTTCATCTATTTGGAAAAATAGAAAATTTCTAAGTTTGTCTTTGCAATTATTTGAGCTTTACATTAAAGAAATTTCATAATGATCAATACAAATAAATATCCATTTAAACACTATTTATCCTAGAAATTGCTAGACATGTTTGCGCTTAATAAGATCTAATGCTAGATTTTTCTAGAAATCTTAGATAAGCATTGATCCCCTATGTATTATAACTATAAAATAGTGAAAATACTTCTTTTTAACAAGATTATTAGTGCCTTCAGTGTAATTTTTTATGAGTAATTCTATTAAATTAATAATTTTTTTAGATTTCAAATTACTATTCTCCTTCTGCAAAGTTTATTATCTATCTTATACGAACTCAAGTAGCTGTTTTTAGCTGATCTGATGATTTCATTAAACCTTGTATTACGATTTTTGATGAAAAAGTATAATGCTCCTTTCAAAAACAAAATTATTTTTTTAGATCACAACATTAGAATTTTTAGTATCAATGTCTATGTTATTATCTTTTCTAACTTAATGAAGAATATTTAGTGAACTTGTCATGGACTTTATTATTTCCTCAAATGTTGTCTTTTGCTATAATTTCTACTCTTAATTATCGGAAGGTAATTCAGGCTATTAAGTATCCTGATTTTGATTCTCTATTGACTAGAATTTATCATCTTAAGTTATATTACTGAGAAATTAATGCTATAACCTGTAACATTGAGTCTGGAATGATAGTGTTCTTCTTTAATATCTTAA